ACGAATGAGAAAGCAGATTCTTATTTCAGTGTACCGTGCCTATTCTGCGTGACTGACAATACTTTGGTGTGGATATGTGAATTGTAGTGTCCTGTATAAAGAAGGAAGTTTACAATTAATTATTTGTTGCGAGTTATTCCTGGAAGATGGCGTTAAACGTCGGCCTCGTCGTATCATTCGATAATATATAGGAGTGGAAAGGATTACAGCAGAAAGCAGGGGAAGTTTATACTACAAAATATTATAATAGTGTCCCCCAAAGTGAATATACATACACGTGTTAATAGCTCATGACAACGAAGATATCGTCATAGAATTTGGAAGTGATTTGAGCATTGAAATTTCAAACCGTGCCCTGAATATAGGCGATGAAAAATCTTCAATCTTCTTTAATTTTGTGTGTGTGTGATGGAAAGGAATCATTTACAGAGTTCATTGTTCGGCCTGAAGAAGGGAATTTCAAACTCAGTGCTGCTCTGAAGAACACTGCGTGCTACAAAACAAAGAACACTGCATGACCTGAAGCACGGAACTGAAACTGCCCTCACTCCTATTCAAACATGCCTCTCTCGTCAGCGCGCGTTGGCAACAATGAATTTGTTCTGGTGGTGGTCGTTTTCAACATTCGGTCGCTTTAAGGTAACTAACGAACGATGGGTTAACATCTGTCCACTTTGCTTGTTAAAATGTAGGTTAATAAAATGTGTATATATTTTGTGGGACATTCTGTATCGGAAGGTCGCGGTTTCGATTCCCGACGGGGTCATTGCGTTCTTCGACTGACCTAATCCTTCCAGCCGCACTATGGCCCCGACTCAGCCTCTAACAGAAATGAGTGCCGGGAATCTTCCTGTGGGTAAATGGCGGCCGGCGCGCAAGGCTAACAACCTCACCGTTATCTGTGAGCTGATTGTCTAGAAAATGTGGAAGTCTCGACGGCTCACAACCTTATGGGCCTCCGCGGCATATTTCAGGGATAATTTTACTTTTTAACCTTTCACGGGCGGTTAAGTGCTGGCTCCTGAGGGTCAAGTCTCAAGTTCAGTCCTGGGTTGCTTCACATGAGAACCGTGATAGAGGAACTGACACTAGAGGGGATTATTCTCGGAGACATCTTCCACCGTCCCCCAGAGATGTGCAAGCCCTGGTCAGGAGGCACGTTATCACAGCCTTTTTACTAAGTTGAGGCCTTCTCAGGCCTGGCGCTTGACCGTTTACACAGCGAGGAAGTGGGGAGGTTGATTTAATATACTTTGTGTCAAATTAAGAATGGCTTTCTTTTGCTTAACTGAATTAGAACATCATACTTTGGAGGAAATATTGTTGTTACACCCTTCTGATTCATATGGTTAGCCTTGAAATCCTCTATTTAACAATTTCAAGACTAAGGTAATAAGATAAGGAAAAGTTGTTCTTATACTTAACTAATTACACCATGAAGACGTATTTGGGTGGATGTGTAGTCACGTGTTTTCTTGACCTCAGTACTAGTTGCAGGTGAGTGGTCAGCTTTACGCCCCGCCAGTTTTACCCCCATAGAAAGAGCCT